TTTAAATTGTATGTAAAACTGTATGTGAAATTGTATGTAAAACTGATTTAGTTTTACATACAATTTTTAAAATCTTTTATTGAACTGATCAAATTTTTTTCTAAAAACAATCAAAAACAATGAAGAAAAATGATAGCAGATGTATTTATTTTATATAGATTTTTACTATTCTGCATGACTATCCTGCATGAATATTATAAACAAATAAATTTAATAATGTATTCTAATATATAGTTGTAATTTCTGGGGTAATCTTTATAAATTTGTTTTTAAATTTTTTTTTTTAATGTTTACTTGTAGGTAACCTAAATATTTTATTTATAAATTTATTGTAATTAAATATTATTAAAAATGTAAATTTTTATAAAAAGTTTTTAAAACGATGAGAAATTCATCAGTCTTATCATAAGGAAGCACTAGTGCTTAAGTAGTGCAATTTTAAAATTTACTATTTTTAAGGTACATATTTTAGCAAGTGAACTTTTTCCCTGGCTTTGAAATGATCCATTTTGTATATAACATGTTATGTGAGTGCTCTTCCATAAACTTAAAATCACTCAAAATTGAACTAAGAATGCACAAAACTTGTTTCAAGAAGCCTACTAAACATAGTCTCGTTCTAAGCAATCAAGGGACCAAACAACGCTTATGTAATTTTAAAATTAAAAAGAACAGAAGGTAAAGCTACAGTTACGCGGCCTAAAATAATAATATTTTTGCGCTTGTTGCGCCAGGGGGTTTTGCTACATTGACTATCTTATAGCCTGACTCGCAACGGAGTGCTGCTACATCGGCTATCTTATAGCCTGCTGCTACAAGGAAGTGCTGCTACATCAAATGAGGGTTTGGCATGGGGCAGCAATCTTTTTTCACTTTATTATTTCAATTATATTCCTATTGTTTGTAAAGCCTCTACTGACAAGGGGAAAAATAAAATTATTTTAGGCCGCGTAACTGTAGAATTACCGAATAGAACAGTTTATATTAAAATGCCTGTTGAACTTTCTTCGAAACTTCAGAACTTTTTTTTGGAGACAAATGTGTACATAAAAATAACTTTTAAAAATCTTCATCAATATGTATTTTCAGTTATAAATACAACGGAAATTTCCGTATTTGACAAATACGGAAAATTTCCGTACATAATCGATGGATACATCCATAAATGGACGTACGGATACTTTCCGTTAAAATAACGAAAAAAATTTCCGTTTTTTTAACGGAAATTTTTAATAGTGTAAATTGGTTTAAAAGTTATCTGTGCAACAGACAACAGTGTGTTATTTCAAACGATAATAAATATTCTAATTTCCTAAAAATAAAATGCGGAGTTCCCCAAGGTTCCATTCTTGGTCTCATTCCATCTTGGTCCTTTTTTTATTTTTAATCTATATTAACGATCTTCCACAACCACTAAAAAAACTCGATACAATAATGTTTGCCAATGATACAAATTTATTTTATTCATCAGCATCAATTAAAAATCTCTTTGAATCTTCAAACGATGACCTTGAGAGTCTAAACATTTGGTTTAAAGTAAATAAATTATCAATAAATACAGAAAAAACAAAATACATCTTGTTTCATTCCAACCAGCAAAAAAATAAAATACTAAGTATTCTATCATTATTAAAAATTGATAACATAAACATTGAAAGAACTGAAACTATTAATTTTCTTGGGATAATTATTGACGAAACCTTTTCTTGGAAAGTCCATATAAAAATATTAAATACGAAAATATCAAAAAGTATCGGTATACTTTACAAAGTCAAACCTATACTTTACCGGGAGAATCTAAAAATCCTCTATTTTTCTTATATACAAAGTTACCTAACATATGCTAATATTGCCTGGGAAAGTACAAATAAATCTAAATTAAGTTCTCCATATATACACCAAAAACGCGCATCAAGATTGATTTATAATAAAAATAAATTCACTCATGCCGAATCTTTACTTAAAAACTTGAATGCTTTAAATATCTATCAAATTAACATCTACCAAAATATTTTATTTATGCTCAAATATAAGCTCGGACTTGTCCCAACTCTTTTTACTAATAACTTTTTTCAAACCAACGCCAACAGATATATCACACGAGGAACCGGAAACTTTACGTTGCCAATAAAAAAAACAAATTTTTCGAGATTTTTATTGTATACCGTGGCCCCTATTTATACAACAAAATAATACCGTGTTTTAAATTGTAGAAAACTATTTAGAATTTATAGGAATTTATACTTCCTATAAATATATAAGTTCCTATAAATATTTTTTAATTTTACAATCGCATTTGTGAAATTAAAGATAATGTGTTTCTATTACATAAATAACATTTTGGAAAGCCAACAACCGTTTGCAACACTATACCCAATAAGATAAAACTTATAAAAAAAACTTTTCTTTATATATACTTTTTTTGTTTGAAAATTACAAAATCTACGATTATCAAGAAAAGTTTGCAACTTGCAGTTAAATTTTAAGGCAATCATTATGACATAATTACACATAAATATATAGTTACACATAATTACATAGTCGCGCATAAATACATACCCAGCTAGCACACTTACATTGGGCCAACGTATGTAAAACCATCGCAAACGTCTGCTCTTTTTTCCAATGCAAAACCAACGTTGATCCAATGTCATTTGGTTAATAATAAAATTATTACCGACGGAACTAAAAGCATCTGGTAAATTTACATTGGTCCAATGTACGTAAAAACATCGCAAAAAGTTGATTGTTTTTACGATCTAAACCCAACGTTGATCCAATGTATATATCTAGACATTGATTTAATGTATATAAATCAACGTTTTTCCAATGTATGTAAAAACATTCCAAAAAGTTGGTCGTTTTTACGATCTAAACCCAACATTGATCCAATGTATATATCTCGACATTGATTCAATGTATATAAATCAACGTTTTTCCAATGTATGTAAAAACATCGCATAAAGTTGATTGTTTTTACGATCTAAACCCAACGTTGATTGAATGTATATATTTTGACGTTGATTTAATGTATATAAATCAAAGTTGATACAATGTATGTAAATACATTGCAAAAAGTTGATTGTTTTTACGAAATAAACCCAACGTTGATTGAATGTATATATTTTGACGTTGATTTAATGTATATAAATCAAAGTTGATACAATGTATGTAAATACATTGCAAAAAGTTGATCGTTTTTACGAAATAAACTCAACGTTGATCCAATATATGCGACCAAATATTGCTATTGCGATATTATATGACTTTAATAAAATCTTCCGTGATTATTAAAATATCAAACCACAATCAACACAAACATGATTTTTGTTTCTATGATCAAGCGTAATTTATTTAACAAAACACCATAATTAAGTCATATGTGTATACGTATATATGTATCGCTTCTCGGCCTAATTGCAAAGACCAAGTGTAGTATCTGTTCTTATTTCGGTTCCGGACCACCTCGCAATTGGTTACTGTGTTGTTAGAAATCAGAAACAGCACAAGATCGAAACCGTGACAGTTTGTAGAGGTTCTTGGCGTAGTCGCTTTTTCAGTGTCTCCTTCTACGTCCGGAAATTTCAAAGCGATCGTCCACTCCGGACGTTAAATGGAGATAAACCAAGTTGGCGCTTCTCAGCTTCGGCTGAGTAGCAACTAAACCTTTAAGTGGGCTATACTATAACCCTTAACTGGGCGATAACACGGAGTCTCGGCTTCCAAATAACACTGGCCTTCTAGGGCCCTGTGTAAGTCTGGTTTCAGCAGCAGGTGTCTCTAGTTGGTTGGTATAAAAAAAATATATATATATATGTATAATATATATTTTATATATTTCATATAAGATGGATGTATATGTGTATTTATGTGTATATATATATATATATATATATATATATATATATATATATATATATATATATATATATATATATATATATATATATATATATATATATATATATATATATATATATATATATATATTACATATATATATATATATATATATATATATATATATATATATATATATATATATATATATATATATATATATTACATATATATATTTATGTCATATATATATATATATATATATATATATATATATATATATATATATATATATATATATATATATATATATATATATATATATATATATATATATATATATATATATATATATATATATATACTTATATATATTTATGTCATATATATATATATATATATATACATGTATATATATATATATATATATATATATATATATATATATATATATATATATATATATATATATATATATATATATATATTTATATAAAATAAAATTTAATGAAAATTTAATTCCGAATACATTGTTTTACCAATTAAAACTGAAAGTTGAATCTACGTAGAAAATATAACAATTTTTAGACTTAATAAACGTTTTATCAACAATGGTTTTTAGTTGTTGGCGACGTAGCATTTGTAACCATAATGATATAAAAACAACGTAGGCAGTCGATGTTGGGCCAACGTAACGCGCGACATTGTTCTAATGTTTTAACAACGTATGTGCTAGCTGGGATAGTTGCACATAATTACATTGTTACACATAATTACATAACTACACATAAATACATAGTTACTCATAATTACATAGTTAACGCAGGGCAACTTCATTTCTTTCTTATTTCTTTTAATGAAGAAATAAAAATATTTTAACCAAATGTGAAAAAATCTTGCTTCTGATTTTTTCTTAGTTTTGCAATATTGACAAATGATGTAACAAAAGGATAAAAGTTATGATTTTCTGTTTATTTAACTGACAATTTAAATATTATTACTTAAATCCCCAAAACGTAGAAGTAACGTTTTACTTTCAGTGGAATCGAAAGTAAAACATTTACTGATGAATCTCAATGAAATCAAAAATCAAACAGTTATTGTTGACATTAGTATTGTTTAATCTCATTTTTCTATTTTAGACTAATCTAACGAAACAATTTTGAAGTAATCTAACGGCTAATTGTATAACAAAAACATAGAAAATATTTTTCTAAAATCTTTGAGGTTGGTAATGCTAATTTAGAGCTACGAAACAATAATCAAACCCAAGGTCTTCATAGAGCTTGTTTAAGATGGTTGTTCAATTAGTAATAAGCATTATTAGATTGGTTTGGACCATCATTATGTCTATTTGGGCATGTTGCATATACCACGAAAGTAAGTTAGAAATGTAGCAAAATGTTGCTTTTTTTTCATCAATAATTTATTTTTGCACATTTTATCGACTTTTTTTTTTTTTTATGAAAAATAAGTCAACACAAAATGAGTTTTTAAGTTGTTTCAAAAGTTCTATATGAAAGTTATACACTTGAAAGATACAAATCATTATACTAATAAATTATATTATTAATATACAAATAATTATAAATATACAAATAACTATATATTTAAGGCAAAAAAGTTGATAAAGGGACCTATACAAAAATTGACGGTGAAAGTTATATTGGCGATAAAAATGGTATAAAAAACGACAAGAATATACCAGGTAATTTATTTTTACTTCACGTTTTACATATGGATTATAATTTGGAATTTTTGAATTTTATCATAATACTTTTAATAATATTTTCTATTGTTTAAAGTTATATATTAGGTAAGATGGGAGCGTAATGATCTTTTTAAAAAACCATAAAAATGGTTTTGAAGAAAGTTGGAACACAGTAGATTGGATTTTTTTATTTTTTGTATTATATAAAAAGTATAACATTTTTTTATAAATGAAAGAAAACCACTAAAATCTAAAATGTTATTATCTAACTGTTCACAGCAAGGTTTTAAGGTACAGTAAACAACTGCCTAAAGCACAGTGACGGGTCCAGGTATTTTTTAGGGGGTGGGGGATATGTTGAAATATTTTTGTATTTGTACCACATTTGCGTCTCCTAAAAGAAAAAAAAAGATTCTCAATTTCTAGGATATCTTAGGTCTTTCAGATTCTGGTAGTGAGCTTTGCATATCCTTATCCCCCCTGGATCTGACACCCCTAAAGCACAGCGAATAAAAATAACTGTAAAGTAATATTAGTGGAAATAAGAGCGGAGCAAAATAATTTTGAGGCTAATGGAGGAAAAAGACTGTTCACTATGCTTTTGGCATAATTTTAACATTTAGAACAATTTAAAATTGAAAGAATAAAACTTCATAATGAAAATTATGAAAATAAATCTTTTACTAAATATACTAAATGATGAAATATTTTATTCAACTATCTAAAATAAAATTCTTGGAACCTCTCGCTTGCAAAGCAAGCGCCCTACCACTACACCACTACCACATATTTCTTTGAATAATATTGTTGCTTTTACTTCGAGGAGGTGAATTTACATTAAAAAAAAATATACATACATTTATTTTTGTAAAATATAATTTCACAGTAGTAAGTATGGATAATATAAAGATAGTAGCCGTGGCGCAGTGGTTAGAGTTCTGGCTCAGAACCCAGAGGTGCGAGGTTCGACGCTCTAGTCTTGTAAGCAACATTGGTGTTAAGACCGTAAGGAATTCTGGGAGCACCTAAATAACTACAAAAATAATAAAAAATACTGTTGTATCCGTAATAAGAATTATTGCAAATATTCTTCTTGTAATATATTATTTTTATCTAAATAACGTTCATATGACATCAATAAAGCGATACTTATCCAATTACATTTGTTATTTTTTTTGACGTTGATTTATTTGTGCAATTCCTAAACAGCCATTCCATATTTTATAGAATTAACACGATTGTATAGCTATACATTAGAGCCGACAACACCGGAAAGGGAGCCAGGGGGGGCACGTGTCCCCAATTTTTTTCTAAAGAACTTTTTTTTTGTTCTAGATATAGAAGACTTTTTTTAAAAATTGACGATTGTGCTCCCCTCCTCACTTTGATAGCCGTGTTGTTGGCCCTGTACAATCATGTTAATCCTATAAAAATATGTAGACCAAAAAAATCCTGGCTGTTCAAGCATTGTACAAATAAGCTCTATTTTCAAGCTCTATATACTTAAAAAGACTTCAAAAAAATGAGGCGTCTTTTAACTTCAGAAGTTAAGTGGATCCGAAGTTAATTCATTTTTTGTGCTGAAAAAACTGTTGATTATTTAAAAAACACGCCCAGTACTATTGTATAGAAAATTTGCTGTGTTATGGCACCGAAAAAATAATAAAATAAAAAACAAAATACGTCACTGCAATGCGAATAAAAAAAACTTGATATACCAAAATAAACCTAATAACCAAATCAAATAATAATAACCAAAAACATGCTAAGGAAAAAAATCAAAATGTACATAACTTCTATAGACAAATCCGCAGTGTTATTTCATATACTACTTATTTATTCATATCTATTTAAATTATGCAAATATTGCTTGGGGAAGCACATAAAAAAGCAAGTTACAATGTCTTTACCGCCGTCAGAAGCATGCGATCCGTTTAACTAATTTTGCGGATCGATACACTCATTCCAAACCTTTTTTTATTGAAATGAAAATTCTTAATATTTACGAGCTTAATGTGTTTAATGTTTTATGCTTTATGTATTTGTGGAAAAATGACTTATTCCTACCTATCTTTAAAGTTCTCTTTTGTGAAAAACCAATAAATAAATACACTCTTAGAAACAATAAATTTTTGCATAAACCTTTTTGTCGAACAAAGTTTAACCAGTATGGTATTGCTTATCGTGCGCCATATCTTTGGAATAAAGTTATTTTGCCAAATTTTGATATATTTTACATTTTTCCAATTTTCAAACACTCAAAAATTTTATTTTATTTTCCGATGACATAATAAGGTTCTTCTAATTGTAATTATGTACCTTTATTTAGAACTTTTTTAATTGTAAAATACGTTTTATGTTAATTGTAAAATACGTTTTATGTAACGACTCTTTTTGTTTTACTTTTCTGTTTATTTTATATATAGATTATATACATTGTAAATAATTATGCTAAATGCTTGTAAAAGGTTCTGATGATAAGATCAGTACGATCTTCTTTCAGAAACCTTGTTTGTATTTGTTGAAGTATTGTATTACGACAAATGTAAACTTAAAATGTAAAAAAAAAAAAAAAAATAATAATAATAATAAAAACATAAATAAATACTTGTTTTAAATAGACTAAAAGATATACTTGCCTTTCCCAATTTGGATTTTAGCGACCAAAGTTTTAAATTTATAATTAAACCAACCTAAAAGTTTTTAAATGCTTATAACTACATTTTTGTGGATAAATATAAAAGAATCCAACTCTCTATTTAATTCCTCGTCTATTTTTTAATTTATATGATAAATTTCATACAAATCTTTGCCTTCAAAACCTTTGTTTGAAAAAACAATCCCGCGGCAAGTCATTTTATCAATAGTGGTCTCAAAACATGAATAATAAATAAGTGAAGCCATACAAAGGTTACTACTTTCTATATATGATTTAAAATAGGTTAAGTTGATGCAAAAAGCTTCAAAGTGCTTGCGTAACCATAAAAAAAGATAAGAAAGTAAAGTTTATAAAAGTCTTGTGTTTTTTGTCTGACGTCAAGTGTTTGTCATTGCGCCGCTCTCCTGAAGCTTCTTCATTATGGAATTCATCTTCATTATGAAATATAAATAGAAATGCTGAAAAAAGAATCACAATTAAGATTGTTACTATTTAATTATAAAATAACTTTATGAACCATCTAGAAAAACATTGTTCTTAACAAATTATTGGACCATTAAATCAAGATGCCTTTTTTTTTTGTTTGTTTCAAGTTTTTCACACTTTTTAATACTTAAAGAAGAAAGTAAATAAAAATGTGGGAACCATGAACAGAATACTATTTAATTATAACGCTATGGTTTAATTATGTCATTATAACGTCATGATTTAGCAGAGGTGTTTATGTTTTGATAAAAGTTTTTACAAACTGTTGAGCTTTAATAAACACAAAGCGTTTGCTTTTTTTATATCTAGTTTTTTTTTTAAACAATTTTTGCTTTTATATACAATTCATAAACATAATGATAACTTATTGAGGCTAAACTGTGCAATTAGTGCTCAAATCGCTCTAAGTTGACCTTAATTATTTTTTTCATCATAAGATTGATAAATTACAAATATAAAGATTGTTTTTCACTGAGGCTCAGCAGTGGCATTTTTTATTGTGTAAGGAGACCAAGAACTGATTGCATATTCCAAGTTAGGTCTGACATATGTTTTGTATAATTTGGTCCATAACACTAAATCCCTTGATATGTGATCAATTTTATAAATTATAAACAATTATATAGGTATATAAATGTTTTTTTTAGCATGTTAAGCATTCTGTTAGCTTTTTTACTAGCATTTTAAATAGTTTATTTACATAGCAATTTAAATAGTTTATTGTATCTTGAAGTGAATATTTAGTGCGAGGGTTGTTTCTTCCCATATGCATAAACATTACATTTTTCTAAGTTGAGCTTCATTAACCAATTTTTTTTCCATTTAGTGATTTTGTTTAAATCAGTTTGAATGTCATTGGAATCATTAAAAATATTATTTACTCTTAGTTCATTCATTAACTTAGAATCATCTGCATATAGCTTATAGACACATCTTAAATTGTCATGCAAGTCATTGATATAAATTATAAAGAGTATTGGGCCCAAAACAGAACCTTATTAAACACCGCTAGTAACGTGAACCCAGTCAGAAATGTGTTCTCCAAGTACTACTCTCTGTTTTCTATTAGTGAGAAAATCTATAATCCAATCGAGAAGATATTCAACAATACCATAAGCTTTCAGCTTGAGGATTAATAAGGTGTGAGAGATTGTGTCAAATCTTTTGAAAAGTCCATATATATCTACTACATCACATCTACTGCATTTTTGTTAGCTGAGCTTTTTGTAATATAATCATTGGATTTAGTAAAACCATGTTTAAATTGAGACAAAAAAATTAGTTTTCAGAGATAATTTGCAATGCTATTGGTTACTAAGCTATCAATTGATTAACATGGAATAGATGTAAGAGAAACTCTTCTATAATTACTTGGTTCACTAGTATCACCTTTTTTATATAATGGAGTAACTTAAATCACTAGTATCACCTTTTTTAAATAATGGTGTGACATTTGCATTACGCCATACATGAGGAATCAATCTTTTTAATAGTGATTTGTTAAATAAAATTGTAAAAGGTTCAACTAATACATCAGCACATTTTTTTAATATCAGTTGATGGATATTGTCCCCCAGTTGTTTTATTTGGGTTTATATTTTTTTATTACCATGTAGCTGTTTAAAACTGTTACTCGGTAATTGATACCGATTGTAAACAGTGTATGCATAGACAATTTATGTTTCAGTAAATTAATTTAGTAGGGTAGACTATCCTAATGTGAAACCAGTCCTATTGTGAACCCCAGTGATACTTTGGCTTTGATAAAGTATATACTTTTTTAACTAGTTTTGTTTAACTGGCAGTTATTAGCTTTATTGGTTACTTAGCGCTAAAATAAATAATAAATAAC